GTATCCTTTATCCAATTTGATAGGTGAAATATTTCTTGTTGTTTTAATTTGCATACTCCTGATTACTTGTGAGGTTGAACATCATTATATATACCTACAAGTTTCAAAGATTAGCATTATTGAAAAGAAATAAAAATTTTGTTCAGCATGGAAGTCTTCCCTCTTTGTATGAAAACAGCATCCCTCCACATTGAATTTTTTAAGTTATCTTGAATAAAAAATATTAAAATATATTTGAAGTTAATATTTTTAATCATAAGTAGTACAAAAAGTATCCCAGTGATGCTTCAGGAGGATGATAATCAACTCAGTAGCACCATATACCATCTTCAGCAGCATCATTACCAAACACAGATGGCAACATTTATATCTCAAGGTAGTCAACTGAGGACAATAAATAAAGGACTGCTTATAATTCTACAACTCTAAATAACTTTCTTAGTTAACTACAATTTCAATAGCTTTAAAAACTTGTTATGTAAAATTTAATTTATAGAGGGCAAGAATACACACAGTAAATGTACACTAGCAAAGTATAAACAATTAAAGAAGAATAAAAGTGCTGACTGACAAATGCACTAATTATTTCCTCCAAGCCACTAAGCCACAAATTCATAACCAAGTTTCTAGAACAGGTATCTAGAATATACACAAGCTCTGAAATATGCATCTTCTTTCCAAATGGCCTTCAGAGTACATAATTCATTTTTTACTACACCAAAGAACATATCTAGCTAGCTCCAAGGGCTGTGTTTTAAATGATGCAACTGAGAAACTCTATGTTTGAATTCAGAACAACAAGGAATCACTGGCAAAGTCTAAAATGAAAAACAGGCTTCTGACTTAGCCAGAGCCAGCTGCTACTGTCAAAATCTGGCTCTTTCCAACAGGGCAGCAGATTTGCATGAGCCACAGCTTAACTGGGAATGTCATTTCCTAAGGCCAAGGGGCAGCAAAGGCTTTCCTCACAGAAAAAGACTAAATATTTAAGACACTGAATGTGTATATCAGCCAATAAAATTTAATTTCATATAATTTTCACATGTCCCTGTATATTAACTTTCCTTTAATATTTTCCCACCATTTAAAAATGGCAGAATCACTGTGAGCCTGTGGCTGACAAAGACACACAGTTGGAGCCTACTTTGCCCTCAGCCTCCAACACTGTACTCTATCCACATAAACCTATAAATGATGTGCTTTTCCATTTAGCAAAGTATTCCTTTTTTTATCTAAGCCATGATGCCTGGTCTCTTTCTTTCCCCATAGATCCCAAAAGTCCACCAAAATAATGAAGTCAGAAAAGACACAGGGAAAAGCCTGAAGGGCACAAGCTCCTTTTCTGTTGCTTTCCAGCGCTGCGATCTTGTGAAAGTTATGTAACATCCCAAATCTCCATTTCACCACTTGTAGAGAGGGTTACCACACCCAAGCACCTGAAGGCAACAGTGAAGGTGCCACCTAATATCAAGTAAGGCACATATGTGGAAAGAAAAGCTTAACTTCTACAGAAGACTCCAGCTACAATTAGGATGGGCTGATTTTTCATTTTTCATTTATAAGTTGCTAGGTTATGGCACTATATGGGTCCCACGGAGAAAAAGGAAGCGTGGCAAAGTTAGCTCAAGTTCTAGAAAAAGGAGCAACCAGTAGTCTCATTTACTTCATGCAATTTTTCACAGTAGGCTTTTAACTCACCAAATATAAGCTGAGAATCTCTTTGTGGCATAAAAACAGAGTAGACACTCAAAAGAGCACACAAAAATCCATCCTTTATTTCAGAGAATTTATTAAACATAAACACCTATGATAAAAAGGATTGATCTGTATAGACCAAAACCATTAAAAAGTTAGAAAAACTGGGACCCAAATAAGGTAATAAAGGGAACCATTCCAAGGAGCTAGACTTAAAACAGTGAGTGAATGTCAAAGATAGACAGGGAAAGTACACAGAAGACAAACCCCTATTTCTCTTCCAGCAGTTTCTCTGGGACATTGCTCTTTCCCTCTCCACCCTGTAAATTGCTAGTTTGCATCAGTAGATAGGGACAAACCTTTCCTTTCTCCTTGAATGTACCACAGTAAATTAAAGAGCTTATAAATGAACATGGTTGAAAAATACTAGTCTTGACAGAAACATCTGAAACCACTTCCCTCATTTTTGCCCAAAACTTGGTTTCTACCCAACTTAGATCATAAAATACTCAAGGTGCCTCAGACAGCACATACAGTTCTAGCTCTGGAAACCTGGATGTAAAGACTTGGCAAGAATATATACAACCCCTATTGCTCTCAATTGGAAGGTAGAGTGGAGAAAAGATAAATCAAGGTGATAACCTCTCTGACAGTGATGACAGTTTTGTCTGAGAAAGCTCCTATAAGGACATAATCTTCAGTGAAAACTCCAATAAATGATTCTAAGAGAAAATGATTGTTTTCAAAGTGAAATCTTGTTCAGATTTACTCCATGCTAAGAATGAAATGGCAAGTGAGGAAATAAACACAGCTCACTGCAGAACTCAGTAAATGTAAGAAAAAAGTAGTGTCCTCAACTCTAGTCAAAGCTGGGAAAAACTCTTCGGTGCTCTAGTCACAGCACCAAAGCTGGGAACAGCTATTCTCCAAATATTGATAAATGTGACTCACAGATCACATTCCCTATTATAGTGGAAAAATGGAAAATCACTATAAATATTTTCAAGAAAGAGAGACAGACAGACAGAGGCCAGAGGATTACTTGAGTTCAAGAGTTCAACAGTTCAAGATCAGCCTGAGAGGCATAGTGAGAACTCATTTCAAAAAAAAAGAAAGAAAAAGAGGGAGGAGGGAGTTGCTACAGTCCTTCCAGTAACAATATAATGACATAGTGCCTCCAACATAGATTTATCTAACGCAGCGATTTTCAAGTCTGGGCAATATGCCTCTCAGGGAACATCTGGCCACTTTTCCTTTACCCCCCACCCCAATCTGGAGGCAGGTATTTCTGGCATCTAGTGGGTGGAGGTAAAGAGTACTAATTAACATTCTACAATGCACAGGACAGCTTCCAACAACAGAGGAGTCTCTGGGTCAAAATGTCAATAGAGTCAAGAGATGTTGATCTAATCCTAATCCGTTCCTTAGCGACTAACTGGGACAGGCTGTCAAATACAGCAGGTCAGAGATGACTAACATTCTTCTTAAAAACCTCTTAATCTAGACAACTTAAGAGTGCTAAAGAAGAGCTTCATATTTATACAGCAACTTTCATTGTAATATTTAAGGTATAAAATAGAACGGAGTCCATGATGCTGGCCATGTTATCAAACTGCATACCTTGTGCACTTATTAGCTCACCACGTAATTTGGAAGAACTCATACTCTATGCAGCAGTTTGCAATCAAACTGGCAACTGCTGGTTCCCCTTTACAATCTATTATTTTCTCACATTTAAGCCATAACTGAACTCCTTATGGCTACATACCAAAAGTAACCCATCCCCAGATCTCAACAGTGGGTTTTGTGTGGCCTTTTGGAAAGTAAAACATTCATTTCTGAAATTCCCTTTCTCTGATGTCACAATCCATTAAGTTTACTGTTCAACTCCATGAACTGTATAAACCAGACAGGGAAAAGGCTGATTTTACTATAAACTTAAGGACAGCCAAAAACGCTTCTGTAAAAAAGTAAAAAGTGTTGGTAATGAAGTGGAATAAAATATACAATGGTTGGAGAGGTCCCTCTAAAACTAACAAAGCCTTTTGAGGTTATTTTACTTCCCAGTAAAAGTTTCCTTGGGTGTTTCAACAAAGAAATTTTTCTGGGGAAGATATATATCAATTTCATTTGCCGAAGGCACTTGTCTATTTTTTTAGGTATTATCCTAAAAGAAGTATTTTTAAATTATGACACAATTCGATTCAAATTTAGAGGAATAACAAGGGTTCAGACAGCCATTTTTAAACCACCAGAACACCTTACAGAAAGAAAAGCACCCTGTAATTGACAGAAATTCATCTGAATTTGAAGGTTCCCAAGCTAACAAAGCAAGCACCATTCCAGAGACATTCAGAAGGATGAGCAGTTTAGTCCACTGAAATTTTTCTGAAACACTTAAAGATAAAACATGCTACATGGATTAGCTGGACTCTTGGCAAATGTCACTTGAATTTAATCCTGAAGTACAAATGTCTGCCGTCAGGATTAAGTAAAGTTCAAGCAGAAAAGCACTTAGTTAACTAATGGGGAGAAAAAAAGTACCAAATAACCCTAACAATAACAAGAAGACAATACATCAGAAAGTCATTTAAATCCAAGATCCAATTTCGGAGAAGGGGTCACAAAAGGCACAAAGTTGAAAAACTCCAAGGATTTCTCAAGTGTGGCCAATGGCAGCAAAGTATGTGTTTAAACAAACATGTGGTGAGGCTCTTCAATCTGGCTAACTGTAAAAAGCTTTGTTTTACATGATCTTGACTAGACTATCTGCTGTGGTTCCAGCTTCAGGATCCAAGAAACAGCTGGGATTTAGGAAAGGGGTGTTAAGCTCAGGCCCCCACACAGAAAACAACCGAGGTTTTGGAGCGCTGCTTTTGGCGAGAGGTGGGTGTTACGAGCTGCTTCTTGGGCTGCTAGAAGGAATGAGTCCCCATTAATCAAAAGCCACACTGAGCCTGTGTTTAGGTAACAGAAAACATCCTGCCCCGTCCATCACGGATAAAGCATGCCTACTGCCACCAAGTAGAAGGAGAGTTACAGGAAAAGTACTGGTCCCCAGCGACCTGCAAGATCAAAAACAATCCCCAACTTACTGTGAAGGAAGAGTTGAGCGCGCTCAGTTTACAGAGAACTCCGGGAACCCAAGCGAGGGTGACCCACACCTCCCCGGGGACCACGCGCGGCGCAGTTCCAAGGACGGAGCCCGGGTGAGCAGTCCGGCCGCGCTCACCTGGCGTCCCGGAGAGGCCCGGGCCCTGCCCTGCCCACTTGGCCAGCCCGGCCCGGGCGGCGGGGACGCTCACCTGTGGGGAAGCCGGCGGGCTTCTCCGCGTCCTCGCCCAAGCAAAGGCCCCAGGGGCGCAGGACGAGCGCCAAGAGCAGCAGCTGGGGCTTCACCGCGCACCACCCCATCGTCTTCCGCCCCCGGCGGCCCGAGCGGGTTCGGACACCCCCTGCCCTGCGGCGGCGCACTTCTCGCGAGAGCGCGGCGACCCCCAGGTTCGTCCCGGGGGACAACGGCGAGGGAGCCGGCGAGCTAGCAGCGCACGCGGGGCGCACGGACAGAGCCAGGCAGGGTCGGCGGTGCGGAGAGGAGCGGAGCGGGGCGGCGGGCGCCGCGGCCTTAAAGCCTCCCCGAGGGGAGTGACAGGGCGGGTCGCGCCCTGGCCATTGGCCGCCAGCTGGCCCGACGCCGCTGCGGCTCCGGGGCGGTTGCCTGCGCGAGCCTTCAGGGGCCCACGTCCGAGGTTGCTCCCGGCAGCCCCTATTTAAGGAGTGTCTGCGGCTACGTGTGGAGGCTCACGCAGCGCTTCTGGCTGGGACAGCTACTTGTGGTGGGTGAGGGCCCCCGCACAGGAGGAGGGGCCGCTGGCGTCCGGCGGGCGGCGGTTCTCCTCTCTCCGATCCTTTCTGCCGCCGGAGCCCCGCGAACTTCCCCGCTGTCCCAGAGAGTGAGACTGCTTCTCCGGTCCGGGGCTGCTCCTCCCTTTCAGAAGTGTCTGCAGTTCCGTGACAGTCTTGGCTGAATGGTGTCTAGTTAGACTTTTAACCCTTGGAAATGGATCCCCCTGCCCGCATTAGTTCAGAGGGCAAGTTTTATCGCCCTATGAAAGGAAGGCCATATTTTTATTTTACTATGCAAATAGAAAGTTTTTATTGTCCAGTGAACATTTCTTCCTCCACAGCTACAGCCAGGAGGGAGAGCTGTACACTTTCCAGTAACGAGGCTTGTAAATCCTGTGGAATCGGAGCCCAGCATGTGTAACCTGAGGCTGTGCCTTACAAGGTCTTACTCCAGTCCACATGGAAAATTACTCGCGAAGATGTACCCAGAGCCATCTCTGGCTCCTTGGCCCTTCCCTTGCTGCTTCCAGTTTTGACTGAACAAATCCTTTTTTTTTTTTTTTTTTTTAAATATTCTCACATCTTAGATAGCCCGTGGTTTAATCTGTTAAAATAAGCAGGCTCAAAAGCTCAAATTAAGCCAGAAGTTTAACAATTTTGCCTCCAACATTCCATATTGTGAATTATTTTATGGAAGAAGTGAGAATCAACCTTAGTAGCATTCTGCCATCCTTCATCTAAATCTTCCTGAAATAACAACGAAAAACAAAAGTGTTTGGGCAAATACTCATCCAACTCGGAACCTTTGAAATTAAAATTATTAAAAAGCGATTTCCATTATGATCACATTTGTCTAAAATTAGCATGATGATAAGCACTGCATAATAAGATTTTTTAAAAGGGAGAAAAATGTCGTCTGGGGTATGACATTTTAGAAAAATCATTTCTTGTGCCCAGATCTAAGCCAGTTATTACTGTGTTTTGAAGATTTGGTCTCGATTTTTTTTTTAAAGAAAAGGAGAATTGGAGAAAATTCAGAGAAGACGAGAAATATTAAAGAAGTGGGAAGTATGACCTGTGAGAAGATTAAAACAAGGTCTATTTAGTCTGAAGAAGAAAAGGTTAAGAATTGGATTCTTGAATAACGTCTTTCAGTGGTGGCAAGTGCAGTTCCGTAAAATGGCAAAAAGCAAACAGCATCAATCTTCAAAGTTATACTAGTCTGATAGGCCTAGTTATTCTTGTGGCAGAATTCCAAACCTGCCTCTGACAAACTCCTTGAACTTGATTCCTTGCTTCTCCAGTATCTTCAAGAATCTGCATGAATTTCTAGTCTCCAGTCCCCTATCTTTCCCCCATGCACATGTAGGGCTCTCCATATCGCAAGTGTGTAGGAGTAAACTGCGCAGTCCACCAATAATTGCAGGTTACTATGATAGTCCTTCTTTTCTTTTGAGTCATGAGATTAGGACTCTATAAAGTGAGTGTTTCTTTGGGATTTTCAAAATACCCAGACACTTCAATTGCAGTCTGAAAGTGCCCTCATTCTGAAACCAAATCTTTCTTGCCTTCTTAGTTTCCAGACATCTGCTGAACATTTCCCCTTAGATGTTCCACTGGCTGAAATGCATCATGTCTTTAACTCATCAAATCTAATTCCCACTCCCAGCTTTTCATCTGTGTTAGTGACACTACTCCTTTCTAATTTGTATGGCTTTGGGCTTTTATTTTTTTAATTTTGTTTTTTACTTTTCTTCTTCCCTCATACCTGCCAACTCACAGAATTGGCTTCCAAATCTTGTCCTCTTTTTTTTTTCCCTTCACTTTTCATCTCCACATGTCCTTTTTCACTCTCACTGTTAGCTCACAAGTAACACACACCTGAATATATCCTAATGGTGCTATTTGAGCAGGTCTCTAACTGGCCACCTTCTATATAGACTTTCCCTGCCCCAACACAATACTGCCGTACACTACCACTAAAATCATGATGCTCAGATAGCATTTTGATTTCTTCAACCGCAAACTTCAAAGATTTTATAAAGGGTTTGAAAATAATCGAAATTACTTCACCTAGATTCAAAATTTTTTGCTATCAAACTAAACTAACTCTATATGCTATACCCAACCAATATAGTTTACTGTATCATCTCTCAAAGCAGATCAAATACTTTGACATTTTTTATTCTCTAGAGTTTGTAAAGGAATCCTTGTCTTCATTTGGGTTCCTCCAAAGGCCATCTCTAAACCAGCATTCAGTGAGCAGCAGTTTGTGAGGTATTTCACTGAAACAAGGTAGGTGAATGTAAAGTGATATAGGAAAGGGAAGACATCCAGTAGTAGGTGCATTTATATATCTAACATAGTGGGTGAGGAGTGTAGTCCACAAAATTGATGTACATTTGCCTATCATAAATATGCTGGCCAAGAGAGAACTAAGGTAAATATATCCCCAACATCCATCAGTCTCTGAATTGAGGGCTGAGGGACACTAGTTAATTCCTGGGCATTCCCATTCTCATGTGCTCAAAAAGATATGGCCACCATCCAATAATAATGTAAACCTGATGCCAAGAAGTCATGTTGGCATGCTTAGAAATGTTAAAGAGATGTGAGGAGAAATAAGAGAATTATCAATCACATCAGCTAAGTCACCATGCCTTTGTTCATGTTATTCCCCTACATTCCTCCCTTTCTAATTTCTATTGTATAGGTGCCATACGCTCTGCAACAGCCTATTGAAGTACCTTGTTAACCTCAGTCAGGGTAGGTGGCCCTATTCCATGATCGCTAAATCCTTATCCATACCTCTCTGCTGGACCTTTTTTTTTTTTATCAAGCAGTTTTTTAAATAACAATTGAAAACCCTCCTTTGTAGAGCTTTTGCTCTCAAGTGAAGAAAGAGATAATAAACATGCAATAGTAATAAGTGATACAGGGAAATAAATGAAAGGTAAATAGAAAATACCAAGAAGGAGGGGGTTCTTTGAAGCCTTAAGTAAAGGGTTCTAGGAAAACTCCACTGAAAAGATGGTACTTAAACAAAGACCTGAAATTGGCAAGAAAGAGATACGGATGCCACGGGGAGTCTGTGTTCCAAGTAGAAGAAACAGGAAATGCAGAGACCCTAACCTTAGAACATATCTGGAGTACTGTGAAAAGGCAAGAGGGCAATGAGAGTTCAGTAACAGGGCAAGAAGAGTACAAAATGAAGCCCAAAAGGTGGCAAATAGGGCAGAGGCAAACGAGCAGAAATACAATGAGTGTACTTTGTCCTTCGCTCTGAATGAATTGAACAATTATTGGAATGGTTTTTGGTTTACACTATTTGAAGTAGGATTTAAAAAGCATCATATAGCAGCTGCCAGATTAGACAAAGAACTAGGGGAGGGGGCTGGAGAGAATAAAACACAAAGCTTGGAGAATAATTTGAGGCTAATGCTGTGATCCAGGAAAGATGATGGTAGTTTTAACCAGGTTGGTAACAGTCAACCAGAATAGGTTTCTAGATAAATTCTGTTATACAGCCAAAACAATTTGATGGTTTGAATATGGGTGTAAGAAAAAAAGATCTGGAAATGTTTATTCAATGAATATCTGTTGAATGAATGAGAAGTAATGATTTGGAAACACATCATAACCCTGGGAGTAGACAGGGGGCCAGTGCGGGGGGGAGTTAAATGAAATACATGAACAGGAAAATCAATCAGACAGCCAAGAACTAAAACTCAAACCATACCCTTTTGAGGAGGGAAGAAAAAGGAGTCTACAAAGGAGACTGATAAAGTCAGAGAGATAATTATCTCCTTGAACAGGAGGAAACCTGAGAGAAAGTCATTGAATTTAACATTAGTGATACACATTTAGGATGATAATTTTAAATAGGAGCAGAAACTATAGTAAAACAACTGAAAGTGGTGACAAGGACATGAAGAAGCAAATTTTCATGCTACAACTTGACTCCATAGTCTAAATCTGCCCTCTCCTACTGATGTCAGGGTGCAGCCTTTCTAATTTTAGGTTGAACAAGTTGCCACAAAGCTGAAGCTGCTCTTTATATATAAGAGGTTTGTACTATTCCGTGGGCTCTAGTAGTTTCCAAGTTCTTTTTTTTGATACCAGGGATCAAACTTGGGTCCATGTGCTTGCGAGCCAGGCGGCAGAACCACTGAGCTAAATCCCCAGCCCAGTTTTCAAGTTCTTTAAGCCATTATTTGAGGAGAATAATTTACCAGGTGACTTTTTCAAGGTTGACTATCATTTTTAAAAAAAGCAAGAGAAACTGCTTAACATATGATAAGCAAACTTTCTTCAGCAATGAAGCCAGTTATTTATCAGGGATGGCATGAAGTTTTTACTTCTCTAGTTTCTTGTCTTTGGGAAAAACCTACTTTAAAAATATTACGGTTCTCATTAAACACTTCCAGATTAAATATCTTTCCTTTCTAACCTTGATTATTTTTTGTCATCTTAGCATGCTTATATGGAATCCTGCCTCAGTTATATTATTTATGAAATCCTTAGACCTACCAAATGATGTCAGATGTAAAACTAAAGTCAGCCAAGTTCAAATAAGAAGAGAAGGCCAGGATGACAGAGGCAGCCAGAGAATGTGTAAGTGTTCTGAAGATGATTCTAGCAGATGTTTAATGACTAGTCGAAATGATTGGGACAGAGCAGTCTAGTCCGTGAGTCACCCTACATGGTCAGCAGCAGACACTTGTGGCGTCTGCAGTCAGTCTTCCACATGTTTTACTAAAATGCTATGCTACAGCGTATTTGTTGACAAAGGTTACACCAGAATGCCATTAATTGTGATAAACCACAATATTCAGTCAACATTTTCTTGTTCAACGGGTGTTTCTAATGACTACTTTTTGCCTTCCTGATCTTATAGTTTCTCATTCTTATGCTTCAGCACTACACAAAGATATATTTTCTCTGAAATGTGTGAAGTTAATCTGTCAGTGAAAGCCCTGTGAGTGTTAGGAGCAGCTGGGAGCTGTACAGTATTCTAGGTTTAGACCAGGTTGTAGTCAGGAGACATCTTTAAGAAAGTATTTCTCAAAAACTGTTTACAGAGATATTAGAAGGGAAGGGCCTAAACTCCAGGGATACAGTAAAGTGTTAGGTTTTCTTTTATTACCCTAAATACTCGTGTCTTTACTTGATTTTATAGTTATAACTCATAACATTTCTAAAGATCTGTAAAATAATATAAACAAGAGGCCCCCACCTAACCCCTGTTTAGAGTAGGTTGTAATCAGTAAAAGTCATGAAAGCATTTGTCAAAGCTTTTTTTTTTTTTTTTTTTTTTTTTGGTTTTATGAGACAGGGTCTCACTATGTAGTTCAGACTGGCCTTGAACTCACTATGTAGACTAGGCTGGCCTTAATCTCTCAGAGATCCTGCTGCCTCAGCCTCCCAAGTGCTGTGTTTACAGGCATCCACCACCACTCCTGGCCTTTTATGAAGAGATGTTAAGATGGGGATGTTAGGAAGAAAAAGCCTAAGCTCCATGGATACAGTACACTGCCACATTTTCTTTTACTTCCCGAAAAAAGTACTTTTTTTTTACCATATTTGTTTATAACTTATGATATTTTTAACAATCTCTAAAGTAGTATAAACAATAAACTCCGTTACTTTGGTTGACCCCTTGTCTCTAAAGTAGTATAAACAATAAATCCCTTTACTTTGGTTGACCCCTTGTCCTTGAATATACAACTAAGCTTTTCCATAAGTATTGAGAATATAAGGATTCTCTGATTAATAATTCCTGACTTCAGCATTGAATTGGACCTTCTTGTGTCAGCTGTAATTATAGGGTATATTCAGTTTTCAATAATGGTATTGTTTCTTTATTCTTCTGTAAGTAAGTGCTTCCTTACACCTTAGGTCAAGTTTTGTAGTCACTGTCTTGGGCCCTTGTCTGATAACTCAGTTCATCTCATGCTGAGATCTCTCCTGACCACATAAATTTCCAAAGACTGGAGATCTGTGGCTTCTCTGAACTTCCAAATGTCCTCAAGGCCTTCTGCCTACAAATAATTCCACCTCCTGTTGGGTGTTTCCTTATGTGCCCTGACCCATGACCCATAGTCTGATAGTTCTGTACATCCTTACTCTGGGAGAAGTGGTTATAGCAGACCTGAACTGATTATAATAGTGTGATTCAGCCAGAATAGTTTGAATCAAATAATTGTGTTATATTGCCCCTTGGTGAAATCTCTAAGGGTGCTGACTTGAAATGAAATATAGCCTAAGAACATAAGAGATGCTTTATATAATATAAATGTAAACGACTGCCTTAGTCACTTTCTTGTCACTGGGACAAAATACCCGACACGTGCATTTTAAAGGAGGAGAGGTTTATTTTGGCTTGAGTTTTCAGTCTGTGGTAAGCTGGCTGTAAGGCAGAAACAGCATGGTAGAGGGGCCTGGCAGAGTAAAGCTGCTTACATCAGGACAGCCGAGAGAGAAAGGAAGACCCAGAGAGCGAGATAAACGCTTCTCAATCATACCCCCAGTGACGGCCTCCAACCAGGCCCCGCCTCCTAACACATTTACTACACTCATCCTTAGATTAATCCTAGAAGGGTATATCCATTAGCCTCCTCTTTTCTCTCTTTACTTCCTGGCTGCCGTTTTGTCATCTGGTTTCCTCCACCAGGCTGCTCTGCCATCCTTTTTCTGCCTTTGAGCCAGACAACCACGAACTGAAAACATAAGCCAAAATAAACTTCTTGTCCTTTTAAGTTTTGGGTGTCAGGTATTGTGTTCCATGGATGAGAAAATGACTAAGACAATAACTACAATATTAGATGTTATAAAAATAACAAAAAGGATAAAATAATAGAAAATGATAAAGTTTTGGTCTTTGGAAAGTGGATATGACTCAGATATATGCCATAAAAGTACTAATGCTGTCCTTAATTTATCGTTCCTAAAATCTGAAATATGCATTCTGTGTTATTCATGTTTCTGTTGCTGGGAAAAATACCTGACATACGAATTAAAAGAGAAAATGTTTATTTTGGCTCACAGTTTCAAAGGTTTCGGTTCATGCCAATGCAGAAACATCATGGTCAAAGAGCATGGTGGAGCAAAGATGTTTACCTCATGGCAACCAGGAAATAAAATTATCAAGAGAGCCCGAGGGAGAGGAAGGGGTAGGGGACAAAAAATAGTATCTTTCAGGTTACGCACTCAGTGACTTCCTACAGATGGTCCCACCTCCTAACAACACATTCGGCTATAAGCTCATCAATGGACTAATCAATGGCAGCCCCATGATCTAATCACCTTACAAAAGCCTCCCCTCTGAACACTTCTCTGTTGGGGATCAAGCCCTCAATACATGAGTTTTGGAGGGGCATATTATATTTTAACTGTAACACATTCTGTGGCATACAAAAATATTTTTTCAGGAGAACTAAAAGGAAGAAGAATTTACTTTAAAGGTTTGCTAGTACAGAAAAGCATGACTTTGGCCAGTGTGCTATGCCTTGCCTTGCCCAGTCTGAATACAACACGTTAGAGCTTTGTGTTGTCTTCTTTAGAGTATTTTCCATTACAGGTTTCCAAAAGGCATACATTTTGCCAGGTGTAATTTTCTGTATTATAGGCACAGATCACAATGGACAGAACCATTTTAAATGTTTTTGAAGTTTGCCATAATGATCATGCAGCCCTTTTAATTACTTCATGGGAAATGGGAAATGTTCAGTGACCTCCCTGGAGGCATCACTTTTTGTAAAGATCTCTTGACATTTTCATCACACCAGATTGGCATCAGAAAGTAGATATTTGGAGACTGCCCTTTAATTTATCTTTGATATTATCACAGTGTTTTGCTTAATTACTGCTGTCCTGTTACTTTGTAAATGTGTGCAGGTCCTGTTATTTTTTCAGCCATTAATCTGAATCCTAAGAATCACAATTTAGAGATAGTAACACAAACTTTATCCCAAAATAATAAAAAAAAAGTGCAAAAGGTATCTACCCAAAAAGATACCAAAAGGTATCTACCAAAAAAAAGAGGTTTACATATATGCTATAAAAGGCAAATATACAAGTTTTTAAACAAAAACTGTTTTTCCTTAAGAATTTTAAATCTCTAGAAGTGGGAAATATAACGGAAGTGATTATTTTTGTGCTTCCTTTAAATTATTCAGTTTTTCAATAATGATTAATTATTGGCTAACCCCCCAAAAATAATGGTTGTGACTAATTTTCCCGTATCAAGATTGCCCAAGAGTCAACCATAGAATTAGAAAATCTCTTTTTCTCTTCATACCACCCGTGGTTGTTCAGTCAACAAATACAGGCGCTATGTTCTAGATATTTTCAGGATCCCAAGATGAATTAGAGTTCTCTCTTGCACAAGAAAATCACTGCTAAGTAATATATTAAATCATATTGTTTCTTTACAATATTCTAAAATATTAGAGAAAAATAGTCTCAATTTTAGATAGTAGAATATGTTAAATATATTTCAGTTTATTAGATAAAATAATTTAAATTATCCTTTAAAATATTGTTATTTCTTTTTTATGATAAGGTTATTAGAAATTGGTATACAAGTAAACAATCATTGAATTTGTTCTTTGTGCCATTTTATTTCGCTCATGTTAAATATGAGTATCAGTTTTTTTAAAAGTATAATTTAGGGCCAGGGATTTAGCTCAGTGGTGCCGCCACCTGCTTTGCAAGTGCAAGGTCCAGAGTTCGATCTCCAGCACCCCCCAAAAAAAAAGTATAATACAAATGAAGGAAATAATTAATTTTGCTATTTCAGTTACCCAAAAACAATCCCATATTTCATGGACTGGTACTAACATGCTTGTAGCAGTTCTTGGCATTATGTCAGTAGGAACTTATGTAGAAAAAGGATGGGAACTACTTTTAGTCCTGTCTTTGCCCAGAAAATGTCCAAAAGACTTGCTGTTTTGTTGTGGGCCAGAACTAGGTTACATGGACATTCCTAAACCAGTTATACCAGGGGAAGGCCCTGTTAGTCACGTTCAGCTTATTCAGCACTTTTTCTGGAGGGGTATATCAGGGCCAACCTTCTCTTCTCCAAATCAGATAGGAGAGAGGTTATTCTGGATACTTAAAGACAATTCAATTTAGGTTACATTGGAAGAATGTATAAGTGATTGGGTAACCAAGTCCGTTACTGATTTGTTAACTACCTATTAAGGAGGATCCAGTGCTCTTACACACACACAATAAATATCACAGTATCTCTAATCCTCCCAGTGTGTGTACAGTGTTATTTAGATTAATATGTAGGGCTTGTATGATTATGACTATAAAAATAATGTAAACTGAATAATTCATTACAATTTAATTTCTTTTCTTGTATGCTTTCTGCTTTTCCTGGAGTTAATAATTTCTAATAATTTGCCTAACATTCAATAAATTATCATTAAATTCTTTATTATAGTAGAGGTTGACCTGGAACTCCCTATGTAGCCCAAGCTGGCCTTGAGCTCTTAATCTTCTTGAATCTTCTTTTTAAGTGCTGGCTTTATAGGCATGTGCCACCATGCTGTGCTAAGTTGCTTAGTTTCTATATGTCATTACTGCACCTTTATTCACTAGGAGGG